CGTGATGCTGACCACTCACCCCCATCTAGTGCCGAGGTCAAGGAAGAGAGGAGCTATACCTCCACTCACCCCAAACGCCTACATGGCGTATAGTGGGACAAACTTTACTTTACTTTACTTTACAGTGAGTATTTTTTTAACCGGTTTCTTATTATTTTTAAAATCGGTAAGTATGGTCGAATACAGAATAGTGATGGCTCCTGGAGAATTAGGATGAATCATGAACTAGATTGTATCATACAGGGAGCAGATATCGTGAGGCTAATCAAAAGCAAAAGGTTAGCCTGGCTTGGCCATGTTGCAAGAATGGAAGGAAACAGGGTGACTAGAAGATTGATGGAATGGAGACCGATGGGAAGAAGGATGAGAGGGAGACCACGGAAACGATGGATAGACAGACGTGGAGGAGATGTGTGGACAATGGGAGTAAGGGGATGGAGAAGAATTGTGAATGATAGGACAGAATGGAAAAAATTCAACGAACAAGCTAAGACTCACACAGGGTTATAACGCTATAAGAAGAAGAAGCAGTTGTTGCACAGTTGAGAGTTAACGCCGGTAATTTAATTGTGAGGATGATATTAAAGCAGTAGAATCTGAAAAGTTACACCACTTAGTTCATAAATTTATTGATGACTAGTGGCATGTACTTTGAATACCAGGACTGTGGGGACAGCCCAAGAAAACTCTGGTGTACTTCTCTTGGTATGCCTCCTAAAAGCTCTGGAAGTTTTGTGGATTTGGTGCATGGCCTCAAATTGTGGAGCATGGGAAATCTGACGTCCCTAAGTGCCGTTCAATACATCTGCTTATTGTCTTTCTGCGGGTCCCACCTTAATGGTAATGCAGGGACATTATGGTTTGTAATGTTTAGTGTAAGTGGCTCACTTTGCTCTCTGTGCACAACTGGGGTTCACTGTCTGTCTGTCATTTGTGGGACCTGAGTTACAAATCAGACTGATTAATTGATTGGCACACTGGGTCTGCTACAACCCAAAAGACCTTTGTTTCAGTTATCCTCATTAACAACCATCCAATACGCAAATTACCTTAGGCAGAACAACATCATTCAACAGAATTATCTTTACCATCACCGTTGGCACACTGGTGAGAGTGATAAAGAATGCGAGGAATGGACACAGTTTGCCACAGACCACCACAAACTACAAATTTTAAAATGAAGCACGAGGTTCTTACTTGAGTGTTCTATTCATCTCATAAAATGACTTCTTTATTATCAAGGATTTCTCAATAATGTAATTTCATTGCTTGTCAACATTGCATTCTAATTGATGTTACAATATATCAATATGTGTTATCATGATGGACTTGAATTTCAATTATTAAGTGTGAAAATGCACCTTAATCTGCTGCTTCCACTCAATCTTACCACCACACTCATGATATAATAGGCAACTATGGTACACAAGTTGAAACAGTGTTCTAACAGCGACTTTGAAGAACCCACATAAAATTACTGAATCCGTTGTTGTTTCTTGCCTCTACAAATATTCAGTGTTTTCTTTCAAATACATTGATAAGTGTATAATATTCTTACTCAGGAAACCCCAGTACATTATCAAACAGATCTGCTTGTCTCTCTCATTAGCATAACTTACGTTGCAAATAACGGTTTTTGGATCTTATAGGAATGACTTTAATGGTTGACAGCTCTGATGGATGATTTTAATCTTTCAAACTAATTGATACACATAACAGAACAGAATATGATAATGCTTTTATTACACATGTTATGGCAATAAACCCAGAAAACAGAAACAGGTTCATAATCTTTTCGAGTTCTTAAAGTAACAAAGAACTAACAATATGACATGAACCTTGGTATATATAAATCTATAGCTTATCCATCTTTACACATTTAATTATAACAGCATTTTAATAGACAATGAAACAGCTTTATTTGTTTGATATTATAAATTCATATAAAAATTCTTCCATTTTTCAAACACATTTTATTAATTTTTATTTCTGCTTCACATGAGATTGTAGTTTAATTATTGAATTTATATGTTAGAAAAGCATTCTATTGCACAATGTTTTATACTGTATGGATCTAGCAAGAAGCACTTTTGTAAATAAGCTTGGCGCAATACAAATATGTGGAAAACATTTTAGTGTTTATACTTGATTTATCTAGAAATTCAAAACAACCATCTTGCACTTACAGAAGATTAACAGACAATGAACAGACAATAAACAACACTGACAACATGGGCAAAGAAGAAGGAAATTTTGGTTTCACCTCTCGAGATCATTTGAGACATTTTGAAATTTTACAAACTGCTTGTCTTCACTAACCAGCAGTGTGACAGAAAGCTGGAACTATTTAAACCATCTTTAAGCATTAGCTGCTACTTCTGTTGTAGGCACACTATCAGCTGATGCTGGAAGAAGTATTCCTGCTTCCAGAGCTTCCTTCTCCAGGTCTGCCAAATGTCGTCGTAACCGCGTGGCTTTCAGCCGTAGCTCCTTTTCTTTCTCTCGAAGTGATGTCATCATCTCCCAGGCCCTCTGCTGAGGTGTCTGATCCACAACCCAACGAAGGAATAATTCAGACCACAGTGACTGTAACAGTACATGAAACAAACTGTACTAACCTAGGCCCATATCTGGTGGCAGGATATAAAAATTAGTAACCATATCTTCAAGCCTGTTATTAAATTTTATCTTTAAAGATGATGTGAGTGCAGCTGTATTCATATTAGCTTTAAAACAGACAGAATTAACTTCTCTACTGCTTTCTTTCTGCACCCCCATATGTTAAACTGATAATATATTAAAAAATAAAAGCATTTTCAAAACTTATACAGTGAAACCTCGATGCATCGTTTTCGGCGGGGGTGGGAAATAAAAACGATGAATGCGGGAAAACGATAGATGCGGGAAAGCATTAAAAATTTAAAAAAAA